AGGAAAGCCATTGACCTCCATTCTCTTCCATCGATTCCTTGCTTTCTTCATAAGGGATGTGATTAGCAGACATGATCTGCCAGCCGATGAACCGTATACTTTACAGTTTCTGATGAACGACCATCGACCAACAATCTCCAAGGAAGGCTACACCACGGAGAGGACAGTCTCACACGCCATGTTCAGCGTCATACCAGTAACGTCTGAGATAAGGCAGAAGTATGAATGCTCTCTGCTCTCCCAAGAATCGAGGGCAGCTACCCAGAGCACTTAGAGCCGTCCCCTGACACCAACGAGGGAGCACAGGAGTCGTCTTCATCGGATGATGAAGATGATGATGATGGCACTCCTCGTGCATTCCCCCGCCCTTCACATACAATTCCCATCCCCACTACCCAAAGGGCAACCACCACCACTACCCCTGGCAATAAAGGCCAAAGGGGTATTGAACATGGACGACCCAGTCTAATCCCTCACCCAGCCAACCATCCAGAGGCCATTCTTAGGGCCTCTGGAGATGATGAAGCCGATGAACCTCACCATCAATCGCCCCTCTCTCAAGAGAGAGGCGATGAAGAAATAAGAGCCACTTTGCCTCATGGCTCGCCACTACCCTTCACACACACAGAAGCATGTGTTGCTTTTGGCATTGCTGATCCAAAAGATCGTTCAGAGCGATCTCCTGTTCGTGCACAACATCCCCCTTTGATACTTGATCTAGTGAAGGGGAAACACATCTACTTCTCTTCCTCGGCATCTGTAGCTGAAGAAGAAGAAGAACATGTCGCAACATCAAAAGATAGCTCCTCACTAGAGGGCTATCGAGGACTTGATGGAAGTCCTTCAAGGCCTATATTTTCACAAGGCATTGAAGGCGCCTCTAGAGCTGAGGCTCAACCTGCAGCATCTGTTGCTGCAGGGATTACCGATGTGGTTGATCTGGTCACAAAGGCTGAGTTCAAGCCTTTGTAGACTCGATTCAACGGTCCTTGGATGACCTAAAACTCATCATACCAGGGATTGTCGACAACCCTCCATCCATCAATCTTACCCCTTTTCGACATTCCCTTGCAACCGTAGAAACCCAAACCCAAGACAACACAACCCATCTCCAGATGTTACAACAAACTGTCACCCAACACCATAATACCTCGTCCACCTTTTCCACCCAAAGAAACCTACTTTTAATGAACTCCATCGCCACCATCATGGCCCAGGCAACTGCGACCGATGAGACCTTAGCCTTCCTAACCACCCAAATAAACACCATTTTGCAAACCCTCAACACCCTACCAGCCACCATTATATCCCAAATCCCTCAACTTACCCCACCCCCAACTTCATCAATTGATGACACCTTAGCCTCCCTCTCATCCTAAATGGCCACCATCCAAAACACCCTAACCTCCCTCCCAGCCACCATCATAGCCCACATACCCCAACCACCTCCACCTCCACCTCCACCCCCCCATCTTTTCATGAAGCCTTTTCTTCCTTCACTATAAAGGTGAGGAACATCATTGCCAACATTCCCATTCCTTCATCCACATCCACCACCACCTTCGTGCCCCTACCTGCATCCACATCCACTAGGGAGTTTTCTACCAGGGCCGACCTAAGGGCCCTGTCGAAGGCACTTGTCTCATCCTTCAATGATATAAGTGCATATTTCATTCATCGTGCTGCACAACCAACCAAGGCTCTCTTCCAAAGCCTTGCCGATCAACAAGCATGCACCAACACTCTCCTTCACTCAATGGAGGAGAGCCGAAGACAACAAGTCCTGAAGGCGTATCTTGCGTCCTTCAGGAAGGACAAAAAAGAAGAAGAGGAGCAGAGCATCATGCTCCAGCAGCCGCCCGCACAAAAGGCCACGACATGAGGACCCAGACCGCGATGATCAAGGTCTTGGACCTCATGAGGGGGAGAACCAGGCCGCAGCTGCTCAACATGTGGAATCCGCTGCACCACCACCCTCACCTCAAACTCAAAACCAACCATCTCCCTTAAACCAAGGAACCCAAGCGAGGGAATCAGAGGCTCAACCCTCTGAAGATGTACATAATGTACATGTTCCCATCGGCACCACCCAAGAACCTGTCGAGCTGAGTTCATCAACCAATAAAGAACCATCCACACCTCAAACTGAAACAAATCTACCCTTCACCCCATCACTAACTCCCAACCTTCCCTTAACCCCTTCACCAACTCCTCGCACAACAAACCCTTCACCACCCTACCCATACAACCACAACCCATAATCACCCAACCTTCATCACCACAACAACCTCCAACCCAAACACAACCTAATGAACCAGAAACCACCCACACACAACCTCTTGAACCAAAAACCACCCAAACTAAAACCCATGAACCAGAAATCACCCCATCTAAGCCCAATAAACTAGAGCCAACCCAAACCATTCCATCACCAACCCACTCACAACCCTTAGCCCAAACATAACCCACAGCCCAACCAACCCAGGTGCAAGCGGATGTTCCTTCTTCATCAAGGCACCCTCCTCAAGGGGTCGTTGATGAAATCATCACCAATATAGAGTCGCTCAGGAGACATCCAGAGGTGCCGTCGAAGGAGCCAATCATGATGGAGAACATCCATCAATATCTGTATCATGATCGCGGTGAAGGTTTGACTCTCAATCCTCCAATTCTTTCACCAGAATCTATGAACCTCCTACACCATAAGTTTGTTAGACAAACTACCCAACCACCACGGGTTATCTTTTCAAATGATGGAATAAGGTTGATCATGGACATCAAGATGAGGATCTTCGCCAACAGAGCCATCAAGTATATCGAGTACACTGTAGAGTGATCCCACGATCAGGTCAGCGTCTTCAGTGACAATGACTTGATCAATCTCAATCCCTATGACTTAATCGAGCTTTACGCATACACAAATTAGAGACATGATCAGGGAATATGATTTGGAATGGTGAACAGAGCGATCGTGCAGATAATAGAGACCTTGGTGAAGCATCAAGCCAAGAGTGACTTTGAAATTGCTCTTCAGCTTGGCATCGACAGACTTTCCTACACTCCACCCGATGAAGACTTCTCTGGCTTGTAGGAGAAGAGGTCTGCCACTGTCCTTACTCAACCAGAACTGGGTCTGGTATATAAAAATGAGTTTGGCACAAAGAAATTCTTTAATTTGACTGAGGCCTTCAAGTACTCAAATGAAATAATTGAATGGTTTCAGAAAGCCATCAGGGATAGGTTAGGCAGACCTCATATGCCGATAGACGATGGACAGAGACTGATTCATGAGATATCTACAGTCATTCAATATAGAGGACTACTTATGCACTTTTGGGATATATCACAAGGGAGACCTTGAATGTAGTCTTAATTATGTTTTGTCTTGTAATTTCTTTCATTTCACCGTTGTAAGAATTCATCATTTTGTTCCAATGAAAATTTGGCAAAAGATGCTTTTCTTTAGAATAGCCTTTGTTCTTCATTTATACTTTGAATGTTCCTAGATTAGTTAATGTTTGTTCTTTCATTACTTAGGGGGAGATTGTTAGACCCCATAAGTATTATGCATGAAGTAATGGAGACAAACAAGTGAAGAAGAACCAGAAGGCCGATCGAAGACTTTAAGGAAAAATGACGTAGTCTGAAGAACAACCAGATGGTCGATGAACTGATCAGAGATGCGATTGAAAGTGCATCTTCACAACCCCTCTGAGGTACTATCAATTGGAGTTTCCCTCACCAGTTCAACCAGACGCAAGCAATGAAGATATGAAGATAAGGTTGAACTCATACCCCATGGAAGACAGCTGGAGATGACCAATCAACAGTTGGATTCTACAAAGTTTATCTTGCTTTAATGTTTATCCATGTTTTAGATAAGCTTTATCTGTTAGTAGAAGATTAGCTAAATAGTCTCCCTAGATAGTTATCTTTTTATTAGATTACTAGTATAAATAGGTGGTTAGGCCTATTGTAATCTTTGACACTTTATGTTTTTCACATCATTGGAATAAAGTGAAATCTTTGGCACTCAAGCATATTCTTAGAACGTTTATTAATTGTTCTTGAGTGTTCATCATTTTATTCATCCAAACGCTATAATTTGGTTATTCTTAACTAAATTATTAGTGTTATTGAGAGATCTGGGATCAACAGACAAATTTCAAAAGAAGTAACTAATCTAAGTTGTTCAGATTAATGTAGCTAGGTACATTTGCTCCAAGCTCCTTTCGACGTAGAAACTCCCTTCTGATCTAGTGATCTATCATTTCACCTCTGAAGTCATCATCTAGCCAAAACTTGATGGATCTGTGATGTTCATCTGACATAGATATAACTCGAACATTCTTCGAAATCTGACTTCGCCTTCATAGTCAAGGAATATAAGTCCTAACTCAGGATTTACATGCACAATGTTGGGTATGTAAGGACCTTTCGCTGGCAATGATAAGTTCAACATGGAAATGTCTCACTTCTTGTAATCCTTCAGGACTTCATCTAAGGATAACTTTGTTTCATGTTCATTCCTCAAGAATGGTCCGTCATTAGGACTTTAAGGTCTTTTTTTTTCTTCCACCTTTCTTCAAAGTTGGCTTTTCAGGGACTGCGACATACATGGACATCTTCTTGATCAGCTTGTTGATGATGTCTTTGATAATCGGCTTATGTCGAAAGTTTTAATACTGAATGGCTTGGCGGATCTCCAGCCATTCATTATAGTCATACTTGCCAAGGTAGTTTGGATACTTGATGACCGCCTCATGGTTATCCATGGTGATGAGCATTGAGATCAGCAACCTACCGTCTTTTATCCATCTGGTGATGGTGACGTTTAAGATAGGATGAGGGTTGATTCCCTTTTGAAGGCATTCTTCGCTCCAGCATCTGTCTCACTCGGCCAGGTTCAGATTCTTCTCGCATTCAACTTCTTAAAATGCTCTTCTTCAACAACACATTTGCCTTTTGACTTAGTGCTCTAGTGCATTTCTTGAGTAGCCTCATTTTCCCTTTGCTCTCCCTGGGACGTGGAATCCTTGAGGGTGACATTTTGTGGCACCAGCAGGTCTCTGGTACTGAATAGTGAAGTCGTCTTCATCGTCGTCTTCATTATCATCATCGTCCAGGTCACTGCCAAAGTCAGGAAGGTCGGGAGACACACCGTCTTCTTTATCATCCTCTTCATCATATTCTTCCACATCACTAGCATCAGTTGTATAGTTGATGGGAAGGTAATCATCGCGAGCTTCAGCGTCAACTCGGACGGCATCAACATCCTCAGTTGCAGGAGCTTCACAGGAAGTTAGGATTTCATTAACAACCTCAACTTCAGCTTCAGCTCTAGAAGCTGACTTCAGCTCTAGAAGCTTCAGCTTCAGCTTCATTGTCATCGGTTGCTGGAGCAGCAGGTTCAGGGGCCGCAACAACATTTGAGGGACCAGCTTTGGATCTTGTCTCCCCCTCTTTGGAAATAGCTTTGGAGCAATAGCCAAAGAAGTGGTCGACGATTCGGATTTGTAGAGCCATCATTTCTTCAAGGCACGTCATAGCATGTAATATAACTGTAGCCTCAAATGCTTCATCTAGCCGGGCGCGGTCATTAGCGGTCAACGAGGGTTCAGGCATTGGTAGTGGCTGTTAGAGGGTAGCCAAAATCTACTGCATGAACTTTGTATGCTGAGCAAGGTGGGAATTTGCTTCATTGGTTGCTTGTTAAAGTAGTGATGGCCTCAGCATTGGCTTGAACTGCCACTTGGATGTTGGAGAGCTGGCCTTGGACCTCTTGAACTTCAGCCTTAACGGCTGAGAGGTCAGCAACGACTTTGTTCCTTTGAGACATGTCTTTATAGACTTCGTCCATTTTGATGAAGACCGTCTCAATAGCAGGGAGAAGCAGCTTTACATCCTCAGCCATGTTATATGCATCCTCCATGAATGGTTCCTCAAAATGACCTGAAAAAGATAGAGAGTGAGCATGAAAAAGCTCAGGGTTAGAGGAAATGAACAGGTAGGAAGATGGAGTACCTAATGGGTCTTCAGCGTTATTTGAGGGATTAATGTTGGTACGCTCCATGGTGCATTCGAGAGGATAAGTACCAGTATGTTGAGGTGCATCGAGAGGAGCAACCTCAAGTCTAATGGTGGGTGTCTCATCATTACGGATGGAAGTCGCTGATGATTCATAGACATGTGTAGAGACTAAAGATGGAAAGGAAGAGAAGATGGACGAGACTGAAGGTAGTGGGTGTTCAGCAGTGGTGATGCTGATATACTCACCTTCAGTGAGTTGGGTCACTGAGGTGGTTGGGTGAGGAGCCACGGGTACAACAGTGATTTCAGAATCACTATAGAGCTAGGAAGGCTGACTGAAATTGCCTCAGGGGTAAGACTTATTTCAATACCTGAGACCTTTTGAGAGGTCATAGCTAGAGATGTGGTTGTCCCCTTTTTGGCCTTCTTAGTCTTCAGAGGAAAAACCAAGAGTTGGGTAAGATGGGCGTTTAGAAGAAATAGTTGTGGTGGTTGGGTTAGACTTGGGGGGGGGTTTTCCTTTGCGTTTACCATTGGGGAGGGAGAATAAGGAGGAGGAATTAAAGAGTGTTGCATAACAGAAGAAAATGCAACATCTCCATCCCTTAGCTTGTGTCCAGAATTCTAGATCCAAGCTTGCAGACAGGAAGTTTACCTTCCTTGGAGTATTTATCGCTGAAGATCTTGTAGAATACCATTGAAAGAAAGCGAGTGTAGGGAACGGCCTTCTCCCTTTGGCGCTTGTTCTGCTTTAGCTCCAGGTCGTCAAAGATCACCGCAACAAAGTTGATGGATCGACGGCAGATGACGGACACGCCGATAGTAAGCGTAACCCTTGATGCCTGATCCTGACCACCAGTCTTTCCACCCATACTCTAAATGAAGTGAGAGAAGAGGAACTATCACACCGCTGACACGTGGTTCTTCTTTTTCTTCGACAACGATTTGAGACGCCTGCTGGAGTCTTTCTTCATTGGCCATTGGTAGCCAATATCATCAAGGCAAGTGATGATGCCTTTAGTGGAAAGGTCGCTGGCAAATGGACCCTTGGGAAAACGAAGGTCATGCATGAGCGTGGTCACGCCAAAACTCACGGTCATCCGGTTGAAGGTGAAAGAGATTTTCTCCACGTGTTGACCGTTTTTCTGCTTCTTGCATCACTTCAATGGTCATTCATAATTACTGAAGGGCCTCCCTTACGATGACAGGTTCATGGGTGAGAGCGTAGGCAATGGGGGACATCTTGAGGAAAGCAGCAGCGTCCTCGTAAATGGTTTTGTTGGTAGGAATGTCCAACAAGGCAATGTGGTTGTTGGCCTTGAAGGAAACGTCTTGAACAGAGAAGTTCACCTTCTTGGCAGCCATTGTCAGTTATAGTTTAAGAGATAAAAGATAATAGTTTATATTAGTAGTCCACAATTTGAATGTGATACTTTTAAGTTTTAGAACAATAAAACTTCTTTTGAAAAATCCACAAAGAGGGTATTAGAGTTTTTCAAGAAGAATGATGTTTTGGAAACTTTAGATTATAACCAAGAATAATAATATGTTATTAATCTTTCTGTTTGTGTTGTAAGAGAACAAGGTTCTTAAAAGATCAAACAACAGTTTCATAAGAAGAAGAATAAGAACAGGTCAAAATTTAAAGAATAAGTATCGACTGTGTGTAATATTCGTGTTTCAAGTTTTGATTTAAGATTTTCTTTAACATATATACATATATATATATATGTATATA